GGGGGGGGGGGGGGGGGGGTCCGACACCCTCAAAGCGCCCGATCGGGGTGAAACCCCTACCTTCATCTCTCGAGCTCTCGAAAAAATCCGGTGATCCATGAGCCCTCCAGGTTACCCTGAACTCCAATGCCAACACCATCTCTCGGCCGGCTAGAGGATTCGTAACCTCCACGACAAATAAAAACACGTACCTGGAGGCCTTTGGTTTGAACAGATGGAGCTGAACGGTGAAGTTCAAGGAGGGCCAAGATGGTGCAGCATGCGTGTTGTTTATGTAGGTCTGGTGTTCTCGTTGGCACCCTGATTCATGGCGTCGGAGTGTTTCTGCAATCAAGGCAAACGAACATATTGCCGCACATCCGCAAAAGTCTGCCGAAAAAACACCCACACCTCAATGTCGTGCTTCTTCGCTGGTGGTTCATGCAAGCCTGCCTTCTCCAGCTGAGTTACATCCAGCGGGATGCGGAAGTCTGGCCAGACGCACGTGCTTCCGTGTTCCCTGAACCAGAAATCGAGCCTGAAGCCCTGAAGATGCGTTTTGGTACCACGGCACAGGATTCAAAGCGATAGGAAGGGCTCACCGTGGATTCGAGAGACTTGGGCTGCTACAGTAAGGAGTTGAGTTATGGCAGGTCGCAGGAGGGGACCGGAACTCCAGGCGCTGTTGACAATGAGGCTGTTCGTGAACAGGACATGTGCCGCACGTCTCGCAGGCCCGGACATGTCAAGAGTGGCAGCTTAGTTAGCAGTTGCAATTTCGGCGTCAGGTGCATTTTGGGTCAGGGCATGGCATGAAGTTTAGAGTTTCGTGCTTGGTACGTGCGTGCATAAGCCTATTGAGCCGCTCAAAAAAACCCGGAAAACCCCAAACCACAAAACATGACAGGGGAGACCATTATTGGCCAGTCGTGTGTCAATGATCCGCTCCCATTCCTCCCTGGTCACACTTAGCCCCAAGTTAAGTGTGGGAGGTTGGCCTTTAAGGCTTGTCAGTGGGCTACCTGTGTAGAAACCTAGTGTTGGTTTCGGCTCATGTGTTGCGGGTTTCGGTCATGCTGTCGATACACCCAGGCTGTCGCCTCAAAAGATTGCGATGAGGCTGTTGCTGCGCATCAGGTTCGAAGGCACGGGCATGTGAGCTCGCATGGGCTGGCAGTAAGAGGCAGCGGTTGGGCGTTTGACTCAGTTTGGCAGGCTTCGCAAGTTTGCTCCGGGTCCTTTGTCTCACAGCAGTGTGGCGTGCCAACACCTCGGCATCTAGTGCAGAACAGCCAAATCCACTAGCAAGTTGTCTCACCTCAGTGCCTCAGATCAACACGTTGCAACATGTCGGAGCCATTTTTGCCGTATGCTGCTACGTTTGAGGCAACCCTTGCCCGGATAGCTAGTTGCGCTGTCGCGAGAATGTGGAGCTTCCAGCTTTTGCTGGCAGCTCTGAAGTTTTCAGCTGAGCATGGAGCTTCTAATCATGAAACTCGGCTTGGGGGTTTTTATGTTCTGAGATAGCTGCCTTCGGCTGCAAAATACAGCCACACAGCAAGAAAGTCCTTCTTTATTGAGGCTGCTGCATCATCAGGCTTTTCAAGCTTTACTACGGCATTTACAGCACAGGGTGCAGGAATTGTGCTGCTGGTTTCTTTGGTGTAAGCTACCGAGTAGGATCTCAACACTTCTGCAGTAGTGATATCGCCATGGAGGATTTTGTTGCTGCTTCTTGCTGCTTCTGGGGCAGGGCATCAAGAATGACCAAAGCCAAGCAAAACTCGCACTTTTACTCAGTGAGGCAGTAGAAAATAGGCATCGAAAGGGCCACTTGTTGCCCCTCCTTCCATACCCTTCCCTGGGACTGGTGGGTTTTGGGCGGGCAGTCGGGAGCTAAAAACAAAAGCTCGGGGCTTAATTCAGTGTCCTCTAGGGCTCAACGTGCAGAGCTTTAGGCTGGGAATTCAGGCACCTGTCCTTGCAAAGGAGACTCTCGCCATACCATGCAATGAGGAACGGAGGCAATCAGAGCCGAGTTTTGGTGGGCTTCAATGACACCACAAGGCTCCCAGATTGCCGGCGGAAGTTCGCAAATTGGACGATGACAAGTCGCCCACAATTCTCGAAGCATCCCACGCCCTGAACCCGAAGGCCGGAAGCAGGAACACCCGGAAGCCCGAACCCGATCACACGTTTGAAAAGTTAAACTTCTAGAGTCCTCCACCTGAAAGCCCTGTCTCATGGAGCGTAGCCAAGCCTTGGGGCTCAGAAATACGACCTTGAAGCCCTGCAGCCCTGAAGCGCAAATCCTTAAACCCTTAAATCCCGGCAGCCTGTCGTTGTAGAGGAATTCGCCGAACCATTTGACCTCTAAGTTTCGGTCTGCTGGGCAGGATGAAGCACGCAAGGCTTCAGGGGTTTCGGGCTCAGGCTTCAGTAGTCCTGTCGTGCTGTTCTGCTTCCGGGCTTTGGTGTGCAGGTTCCGGGCTTTACGTGTTTAGGGTCGGGGCTCAGAGCACAGGACGGGGTCATGTGCTTCAGGACGTTGGCTAGGGCGAGGCAGTCAGCAGTTGGAGCTTGGCAGATAAACACTCGACCCTGGTCTCAACCGATTGCTTCAATTACTGTTCGTTGCAAATTGTGAGCGGGAGTCGGGTGCATAGAGCTTGGAGCCCTTCTTCGAAACACAAACACACACACACACACACAGACCCAGCACCCTGAAGCTTCGGCTGGATGCCGACATGAACTTTCTGCACGAGAAGCAGTTACGTCGATCATCGTCGAACGTCCTAAGCGGCACAACATCAAAAAGATCGGGGCCACCGTCGATGCCCATACTCTGAAGCCTCAAGAAATGCCAAATCCAGAAGCCGAGCCAAAGCCGCGCTCCTGGGCCCTCCAAACACACACATACACACACACACACACATACATATATATATATATATGATGAAGGCTGCCAAACCCCCCCCCCCCCCCCCCCACCCCATGGTATCCCCCCTCCCCACCAACCCCCGGTCCCCCCTGTGGGGTGGGACCTGTGATTGCATACCCGCCCTAAGCTGAGGCTTTGGTTGGCCTTGTTCGCAGTTGTGCCTGCTGCCGCTGATACTGCTCATGGCTCGCGAGTCG